AGAATATTAGCTGGTAAGAGAATGTAATGTTCATGTTGATTAGGATTGGGGATGAAGGTAGCAATAAAGGGCTATCAGTCTGATCAGCTTATTAGAAAAGATTAAAACATTTGCATAGAAAAAGTGAATAAGCTTTACTCTCAAGCAATCATCGAAAACTCTAATGTATAATCTTTTTTTTTCTAAAAATCAACAATTACTTAATTGTAAAGATCAGTTCTGTACAATATCACAAATAACTTCTTGGCCAACCATAAATAACTTCTTGACCAACCACAAATAACTTTAGCTCATAATATTTAGAATGGAATTTACAGAAGTGATAGAAGAATATCAGTGATTCAGAATATCATACAAATGATTTCAATAACAAAATCGTCGTCCAAGCAGTCAGCTTCATCAACTGGCATAATGGAACGACGGAAGCGTGAGAAGGAACGAAACAAATGTTGGTTTTAGTATTTTTAATTATTTGACATCGGAAATTCCGATGTGTTTAATTTTTTGTTAAGAAAATAAAAATTATGGAAAGTTATTTTTTGCAGTATCAATGAAGAGAAAGTTACCATCAGACGCGAAGTGTCGTTTTGGTAAAGAATTTTTTGCAAAAGTATTTGAGCTATTTCAAAGTATTGAACAGGATTCCTGTGATCGGTTGCGTCAAATGCATGATGAGGTAATATATTCCCATACCGATATCTATTTACGAAAATTGTCATTGAGAAATTTGTTTAAATCTTGAACGATTAACGAATCAATTTTAATCCAGACATTGATTCTGATTCAGTAAAATAGAGTATTTTCAATTTTCTCACATGTTTTAGTAGGGTTTTGATTTTTGTATTTTGTCATTGAGCAAGGCATTCCTTGCGACTTTAGTAAAGAGGAAGTATGTATGGTGAGTTTGCGTGAATTTCAGTGCTTTAACAGATTTGTTTTCTTTTTTAACTACAGTTAGCAGCTTATTACAAAGAGCATGATTTGAATGTTATGTGGATATCAGATGATGAAGCCGATAGTAAAGAAGTTAAAGCACCACTATCCAAGAGAACTCATCAGGATATCAATAAAGGTAATTCAGTATCGCATTTTCAAACAGCTGTTTAAATTTCTATTATCAATCCTTATTCGTGATATTCACTACGCTCTCTTTTAGTTTTGAATTACATCCAGTAATGTTTCTAATTCAATCATGAATTTTACCATGTGACTGGTAGTTAGTTTGATTTTCGTTTCACACAGTTTAGCAGTGCTGTGTAAAACAGATATCATGAAAAGTATTTCGATTTTTTTTTCATATTCTTTGTGCACTAAAGGGAAATTTTTGCAGGCGATATGCGCTCTGTTAATATTTCGCGATCGAAGTTAGAGGCTAAGGAAAAATTGAAACTAAAATCGAGCACTAAAAATGTTGGTAGATTCATTGTTATCACTCTTAGTTTACCATGATTTTTTTTTTAGAAGTTCTTGTTTCGCTTTTCCAGAATTAAGATTTCCTGCAGAATTCCCAATACTTTTAGTCAGTGGCAAATAATTCACCGATTCCAACATCTTTGTTATTGTCTCAATTCGAATTAAGCGATGATTCTGATGACAATCCCTCACGGAAACTTTCCGGACCCCAAACCAAAAATTATAAAGTAAGTTTGCTGAAGAAATTATCGGCGAGTGGGTTTCGACTGCTATCCAATGATGAATAATGTAATATGCGGTAGTAACTTTAAACAACAAACTAATATGCATTAGTTTTTCTTGTCACTCATTACTCATCATTCAGTTACTTTTCTTACTCGTAATAATTATCACACGAGGCGAGGTTCTGTAATTTATTTTTCCCATAATCTAATTATTTTTACAGATTTGTTATACGTGTAGTGGTGCAACCAGTTTGCCAAATAATATGATCTTGGACTGTGAAGAATGTGATAAAACCATTCATCAAAAATGTGCTCGTCCTGAAATTACAGCTTCACAAGCTAAGGACCCACGTTTCCTATTCGTTTGTAATGATTGCAAAGATCGCGAGGTATTAATTGTTATTTATATCATCATACTCTACCGTCATTTAAATTTACATATACCAGAACAGTCAATCTGTTTAATTTTGATACCCAGCTCTCCTGCGGTATCTCGGATCTTTTACCCATGTTAATAGCTGAAATACTAAAATATTTATGAGCAATTACGTATTTGAAGACGAGATTATGCTTACATTTTTTTAGGACGAGAAAATGGGTTCAAGCTGTTCAAAATCACCTTCTAATTTTAAACAGGTGATTTTTCCCATTTCAACCTTTTGAATAAACTGCGTTAAAAAGATACAAGGAGAAAAAAAATTGAAATCCAACACTATAAAATGGATAGAGTGTTAGATTTTAATTTATCAAATGCTTCCTAGAATACCAGGGAGATTCTTCTACTAACTTTGATAAATAGGATACTCAACACAAGGAAAAAAAGTGGCAAAGCAAAGCCATGAAATCGACATAACAGGTCATTTCTCTTTAATCAGTTAGTTTCAGGATGAAAAAGGAAGCATGCGAAAGTCTTCAGAAGAAAGAATTCAGCCACTAAAACCAGAAAACGATATTTTAGTAACATTCTCAAACTTCGCTGCTAAGAAAGGTTACTATCCTTTCGGTAATCTTATAATATTATGTTTGATTTGCAGAAACCTCCCTTTTTCATTTGATTTTTCATTTCTAACATCACTTCTTATTTCTGCATTAATATTATTTACTGTTTTACTAGCACTGCTATAAATAATTGTTTGAGTTTAATGTTGAATTTGATTCCAGTTGAATCCTGAAAAGTAGAATTTCTGGTAAGAACCATTTTCGATTCATTTGCATCTCGATATGAAAAATGTCTCTTTCCCAAAACATCTAATAATTATTCCAGCAAAGAAATCCGCATCATCAGGAGCCAGTGGTAATTCGAATTTGCAAGTTGGTAGCGTCACGATAAATAAAGTTCTTCCTTCCTTTAGTGCGAAGGATCGGAAATAATTTGATTCATTTCCTTGATTCTGTTATTCACAAAATTTCGAAAGAAGAATCTTGAATTTTAGGAATGGAATTTTACAAAATTGGAATGGAATTTAGAAAAGTAATTCTAGTATTTATT